GGCACAGCGGCTCACCCCTGTCATCCCAGCACTTTGGGAGGCCGAGACAGGCGGATCACGAGGTCAGAAGATCCAGGCCATCCTGGCTAACACGATGAAACACCGTCTCTACTAAAAATAAAAAAATTAGCCGGGCGCGGTGGCGGGCGCCTGTAGTCCCAGCTACTCGGGAGGCTGAGGCAGGAGAATGGCGGGAACCCGGGAGGCGGAGCTTGCAGTGAGTGGAGATTGCACCACTGCACTCCAGCCTGGGCGACAGAGCCAGACTCCGTCTCAAAAAAAAAAAAAAAAAAAAGATAGTGTGGTGGTGTTAGTACAAGGATAGACCTAAAGGCCAATTTAACAGAAGACAGTGTCCAGAGATAAACCCCAACTTACACAGCCAGGAATTTTTTTTTTTTTAATGGAGCCAGCATTATTCAATGGGATGAGAAAGGTCTTTTTAACAACTGGTGTCAGAACAATAAACATACGGGATGGGGTGGGGAATCATCCTCAAGCTCTTCCTCACGCAACACACACGAGTTAGAGATGTGTTACAGACTTAAACAGAAAAGCTGGAATGGAATCTTCTGGAATACATAAGAGAATATTATCGCAACCCTGGAATAAGTAGAGTTTTTCTTTTTTTTAGAACAAAGAAAAGCATTAGCCACAAAGGAAAGAATAAATTGAACTGCACTAAAATTTAAAAAATCTGCTGATCAAATGACAGTCAATAAAGCATAAATACACATATCCCAGAAAGGATTCGTATGTGAGGAATTCCTACAAATCAGTAAGATAATGCAATCTAAAATGAGCAACAGACAAATATATAAATTACAATCAGCACATCAGGAGGTCAAAATCAGACATCAGAGAAAAGGAAAGGAAAATCACACTGAGGCTGCAGTGCACACCCACCTGAATGGCTAACCTGACACCACCAAGTGTTAACAACAACATGGGGCCACTGGAAACCTCACACTGCTGCTGGAGTGTAAAATGCTACCACCAACTTTGGATAAATCTTTGGCATTTGTGGTACAGTTAAACATATAAACACACCATGACTCAGTTCATTCTACTTCCAGATAATTACTTCCCAAAGAAATGAAAATAATGTCTGCAAGAGGACTGGCACACAAATGTTTGTAAGAGGTTTACTCATCATAGCCCCAAATAGGGAACAACCTAAATGTCCATCAAGAGAATGGACATGGGCCGGGTGTGGTGGCTCACGCCTGTAATCCCAGCACTTTGGGAGGCCAAGGCGGGCAGATCATGAGATCAGGAGATTGAGACCATCCTGGCCAACATGGTGAAACCCCGTCTCTACTAAAAATACAAAAATTAGCTGGGCTGGGCGTGGTGGTGTGCACTTGTAATCCCAGCTACTCGGGAGGCTGAGGCAGGAGAATTGCTTGAACCCAAGAGGTGGAGATTGCAGTGAGCCAAGATTGCACCACTGCACTCCAGCCTGGTGTACATTGTGGTCTGTGCACACATGGATTACTATCACTCCTACTCAGCAACACAAAGGACGCAACCGCTGACATGTGCAACAGGCATGGACTTCACAAGTGTCTGCAGAGAGTGAAACAAGCCAGACCCACCAGTGTCCACACTCCACCATCTGATGCCTATGGAGGCAACCCCCCCACACACGGTGACAAAAATCAGAGCAATGATTGTGCCCTGGGGTTGTGGATAACTCAGAAGGCACAAGGGGTCCCTTTCTGGGGCCATGGGGACGTTCCATACCTGGGCTTTAGTGGTTGTCACATGGAGGTACATTTATTAAGACTCACTGAGTAGCTTTTACTTGTATGTGCATTTTGGTGCATGTAATTTGTACCTCAGTTGAGAACGAGTCCAGCGAGATAACACAACCAACAAAACATCTCACATTCAAGACTCCCAGTGCCTCTCACTGGTGTGGATGTGGAGCAGGTGGGCGGAAGCGGGTGCAGCCCCTTTAGCAAACCGTGTCTGCTGAGTGGACACGTGACCCAGCAATGCCACTCCTTGGCATCTTCCCACAAAAAGATGATGTGTCTAACAAGGGTCACCTCCCAGAGTGCTCATGGCAGCTTTACCTGGACACTGCCCGACGTCCACCAGCGTGAGAGGGGCTGGGCCACTGTGCTGCTTCCGCTGGAGAGCACAGGCCTTAACCAGGCAAGACGTTGCCGTGCCAGGGCTGCCGAGTAACACTGAGCCACGGACCCACGCCATGTGGCCGGAGTGAGCCACTCTGATGATGACTGACCAGGATATTGACTGGGCAAGGCCAGGGGCTGGGAACAGTCTGTTTGGTGGTTACATGCGTGTTACACAGAAATTCATTATGTGAACTTAGAATGTGTGTGCTCCGGTATGTTCTACTCAAGTTAAAAAGGAAAGAACAGGACACAAGGCAAGAAAAGCCCCTGCACGTGAGGACGGTGGAGCCTGGGTGGCTCAGGAGCCCGGGGAGCAGTGTGTGGGGCACTGGGGCCACAGGGTCTGCTTCGGCCAAGGGCTGACCCAGGGATGGGCACTCCAATGTGGAGCATGTGGGAATGTGGTGGGTTCCAGTCGGGTGCTGTAGAGGGGCCAGGGCAGCCACCATGGGGTAAGAGACAGGCTAAGGGGCACCAGGCTGGCCACAAGAGCTGGGATGGGCTGCTGGAGAGAACAGGTGTGGGCGGGGGGGGAAAGGCCAGTGGCTATAGCCTGCAGCCTCCTCAGCCCAAGCCTAGACTCAGCCCAAGCCGCAGGCCCAGGCTTGCTGGTGGCTGCAGCCTGAGCCCCCACACACCACAGACAACGGCCTGTGGGTTCCAGGAACCAGTGTCTGAGTCATACCCAGCTGCAAGCTGGGGCCTCCAGACACTGGGGCCATCATGCTTCAGGGCAGCGCCTGAGAGGAGGACTGCGCTCCTGGTGCGGTCCGGGCAGGAGTGGCCTCCAGCCGGCTTCTCAACCCCTGTAGCCGTGGTGCCAGAAGCGATGCACATGCCCGCCGTGCTGCCCAGGCCCCAGGGAGGAGCAGGACACAACCCTCGGTGTTAGAAACGCACGGCAGCCTCGGCTCACACAGAAATGAGAAATAGAAAACCATTTTATTCGCATGGTTTACATTTACAGTTTATTAGCTAGTCAACATCAACATGCAAAAATAAGCACTAACTACAAACCTCTACAATATGGTTCTCTGTCAACTACGATGGTTCATTTGTTTTGAAAAGTCATCAGTACTTCTCTCAACTGAACGATTAATTTCTGTAATGGATAGTATTTGGACTCTACAGTTATGGAACCATCCGGCAAGGCCTCTGCAGAAACTTGGTCCTGTGGATTTCCACGTTATACATTCTCAAAGCAGGAAGTAAGGCGGCACACGGAGGGTGTGATATCGAAACTACGCACGTAGGAACACAGCCCCGTGATGTGGTATCGAAACTACGCACGTACGAACACAGTCCCGCGGACACGGCCCGCGAGGCAGGTGGGCGTCCTCGAAGCCAGCCCCTGACGGTGGCGGCGCCAGGCGTTTTGGCAGCAGCTCTCGAATGAAGCCGTGAGTGTCCCTTGTGGCGCAGCATCGCAGGTCACTGCAGGTCAGTCCAGTGCCACTGCCACCTTCCCCGGCCGGGCCGGGGCCAACGGGAGGTGGTGAAGGACCAGCCCGTTCTCCAAGTCTCATCGTTCACAGAAGGAAAGAAACTGAAAACACAGGGAAATCATGGACTCCTATATTTTAAACGTTCTAAAGTTTCCCTCAGTGTTTAGGTCAGTCTTTAAAGAAAAGTTTCCTTCGAAAGTTGAAAGTACTTTTCAGAAGCATCAAATGGTTGACGTGTTACAAAATCCTACCAATCAAAATGCTGTTTTCAAACTTATGACACCTTATTTTCTCTCTTCCTAAGAGCATTTATCGGTGCTCACTCATCTTTGGTCGCAAGAAACAGAAACGCCGAGGCAGGCTGGAGCGCGAGGCAGGAGGAAGGCGCGGCCTCCCTGCCCGCTGCAGCCCGTCCCCGAGGCGTGCGCTTGGCGACGTGGGGCCTACATGATGTATACCTTCTCGGCTTGTGAGAAGTGGAAGACTTCTTTGGTTCTCGGGCAAACGACTTTATCATCTTGACGGATAGAAAGCAGAGACTGAAAAACAAAACCAGGAATGCGTTAAGGCAAGCGAATACAACGTAAACAGACTTCCATGGAAAATCCCCACAACGAACCACCAGGGAATCACTCACCCTCTCGGGCAAAGTTGCTTCCCAAAGGCACACTTGCCAAAGAAATCCCGGGGCCACCCCGCCTGTCCTTCCCGCCCCTGATCCATTTCGAATGAAGCTAAGGCAGGGTGGGCAAGAGGACAGCCCTGTGCCGATGGCAACGTGTGCCAGCCTGGACCCCCTGCCCTACCCGCCCCACACAGCCCTGTTCCAATGGCAACACGTGCCAGCCTGGCCCCCCGCCCTGCCCCCCTCACATTGTAGCCGTAGACGTAGCCGTTGGGCAGCATCATGGGCGGGTTGTTCTCGTTCATCACGTCGCCGGAGATCTTGCAGACCAGGCGGGAGTTGGCACAGTGGGCCATGGGCAGGGGCTGCGCCAGCTTGTTCAGGGAGCGGCTGCACACGGGGCAGTCGGGGCTCTTGGAGCTGCCGTCCTCTTTGTAGCACTGTCTGTGCGTTGGGTCAAGGAAGGGTTGGGGACCACCCAGGGTGAGCCGAGCCCCCTTGTGGCCACTCTACCCCGGGCTGCATGCCATTCTGGCTATGTGAGCACCGTGCAGACCACACGGGGTATCCTTCAAGGCAAAGGAAGTGCTGCACTTGACAGCTAAACAGCCCCCCCGAGGCCTGGGGGAGACAAGAAGCCCGCACCTTCCCGCCCCGGCCTCCTGCGCCAGGACCACATGCACACAGCGGCTGCGTCGCCCACCGCCCTCTCCCCCGCCACACAACCTCTCCAGGCAGGACAAGAGCCACCCCGCAGGGATGTTCTGCTGGCACCGAGGAACAGGCAGTGGGCAAGCACACCAGCCCTCCCCCTCAGAGTTCCACAGAGGGGACAAGGGAGGGGGCCTGAGTCTCATTCATATCCCAGCACAGCCAGGAATCAGCGCAATCCCGAAACACTCACTGCCTTCTGGGCCTGAGTCAGGTCACACGAGAGACATTCACAGGCGGGGACAGAGTCAGTCACAGGTGAGGGCAGTCAGTTGTAGGAGGACAGTCAGTCACAGGTGGGGGCAGAGTCAGCCACAGGTGGGGATAAAGTCAGTCACAGGTGAGAGCAGAGTCAGGTGCAAGAGAACAGTCAGGGCAGAGTCCGTCACAGGCTGACAGTCACAGGCAGGGGCCGATTCAGTCACAGGCAGGACAGAGTCAGTCACAGGCAGGGACAGAGTCAGTCACAGGCAGGGGCAGAGTCAGTCACGGGTGGGATGGAGTGAATCACAGGCAGGGACAGAGTCAGTCACAGGTAGGGGCAGAGTCACAGGCAGGACAGAGTCCGTCACAGGCAGGGAAGAGTCAGTCACTGGTTGGGAGAGTCAGTCACAGGCAGGGACAGTCAGGCACAGGCAGGGGCAGAGTCAGGCACAGGTTGGGAGAGTCAGTCACAGGCAGGGACAGAGTCAGTCACAGGTGAGACAGTCACAGGCAGGGACAGAGTCAGTCACAGGCAGGGACAGAGTCAGTCACAGACAGGGGCAGAGTCAGGCACAGGTTGGGAGAGTCAGTCACAGGCAGGGACAGAGTCAGTCACAGGTGAGAGTCACAGGCAAGGACAGAGTCAGTCACAGGCAGGGACAGAGTCAGTCACAAGCAGGGACAGAGTCAGTCACAGGCAGGGACAGAGTCAGTCACAGACAGGGGCAGAGTCAGTCACGGGTGGGATGGAGTGAATCACAGGCAGGGACAGACTCAGTCGCAGGCAGGGGCGGAGTCTGTCACAGGTAGGAAGAAGTCAGTTGCAGGTGGGACAGAGTCAGTTACAGGAAGGAATCAGTCAAAGGCGGGACAGAGTCAGTCACAGGCAGGGCCACAGTGAGTCGCAGGTGGGAAGAAGTCAGTTGCAGGTGGGACACAGTCAGTCACAGGAAGGAATGAGTCACAGGCAGGACAGAGTCAGTCACAGGTGGGGACAGAGTCAGCCGCAGGCAGGAGCAGTGAGTCACAGGCAGGAACTGAGTGAGTCAGAGGTGGGACAGAGTCACAGGCGGGACGGAGTCAGTCACAGGCAGGCAGAGAGTCAGTCGCAGGCAGGGGCAGAGTCACAGGCAGACAGAGTCGGTCACAGGCGGGACAGAATCAGTCACAGGCGGGGGCCAAGTCAGTCACAGGCAAGGTTCTTGGTAATCACATGCGGAAACGATTCTGAATGGTAATCTGCCAGCCACCAGAACACATCAGAGTCAGGCTTTTAGATCAATGCTCAGTGCCCATGGCAGCATCTGAGATGAGGAGAGAGAGAGGAAGGGCGCCACTTCCCAGAGTGAAGGCTGTGTGACGCATCCAAGGCCCCTCAACACGGCCCCACCCCGACCATCTAGACACTGTGCAGGTGCAGCACGCAGAAGCCCGGGTCTGTCTGTGGTGGGAGGACAAGGGTGGCAAGGTGCAGGGTCAGTGTGTTAAAATGTGCAGGGTCAGTGTGTCAAAATGTGACCGAAGACGCGAACCCCAGGCCAAGCTGCACTGTGCACAGGAGACAGGATACGGTGTCTTGATGGCTGAGAGGCCAGCCTGCAGGGTGAGGGTGAACACAGAGTTGTTTCCCAGCTGGTGTAGTCGGTAGTTGTCGTACCGGAACTGCTGGATCAGCATCCGCCACCGTGCAGGGTCCAGGAGGTCCTGGAAGACAGAGGGCAGAGGGTGCTGGGGATGCTCCCAGGGAAGCTCCTGGGACAGCTTAAAAACGTGGGCCATGGTGGGGCAGGTGCCATCGGCCCACAGCCATCCCCCAATGACCCACACACTCTGTGCTAAGGGTCAGCACAAAGCATAACTCCCTCAAGTGCTGACTGAAACGCACAGTGGGATTGAGTGCTGACTTAACTCTGATTTCAACATGCTGTAGGATGAGTGCTGACTTAACTCTGATTTCAACACGCTATAGGGCCAGTGCTGACTTAACTCTCTGATTGCAACACGCTGTGAGGCCAGTGCTGACTTAACTCTCTGATTTCAACACGCTGCGGGACAAGTGCTGACTTAACTCTCCAATTTCAACATGCTGAGGGACAAGTGCTGACTTAACTCTCCAATTTCAACATGCTGTGGGATGAGTGCTGACTTAACTCTGACTTCAACATGCTGCGGGATGAGTGCTGACTTAACTCTGATTTCAACACGCTGCGGGATGAGTGCTGACTTAACTCTGATTTCGACATGCTGCAGGATGAGTACTGACTTAACTCTGATTTTACCATGCTACGGGGCCAGTGCTGACTTAACTCTCTGATTTCAACACGCTGTGAGGCCAGTGCTGACTTAACTCTCTGATTTCAACATGCTGAGGGACAAGTGCTGACTTAACTCTCCAATTTCAACATGCTGTGGGATGAGTGCTGACTTAACTCTGATTTCAACATGCTGCAGGACCAGTACTGACTTAACTCTGATTTCAACACACTACAGGGCCAGTGCTGACTTAACTCTGCGATTTCAACACAACGTGGGGCCAGTGCTAACTCTGTGGTTTGAGCACACTGTAGGGTCAGTGCTGACTTAACTCTGTGATTTCAACAAGCTGCGGGGCTGGTGCTGACTTAACTCTGCTGCGCACTATGACAAAAATGGACTCACAGAGTTGGAAGGACAGCTCAGTGCAGAGAGCACCTCAGAGCATCAGGTGTAAAAACTTACTTTAGAGAAATCATGTATAAAACGGAAAATAGCCAGTCCATGTTAGGTTAAAGCATCACAGAACAGAAAATTAAACCTTATTAATGTCTGTCCCTAAATAACCTCAGGTTTAGACTTGGAGAGAGAACATGTGTGAGCACAGGAGAGAAAAACCTTTACATCAACCCAGAAAGGCCGCTCAGTCTCTAGCTTGGGGGGAGACGGCCACACCTGGAGGGAGGGGAGGTAGTCATCAGGGGACATCATCCATCAGTCTCCATAAGCTTCTCAGTCTCAGTTTAGGGTAAATGACACTTAAATCCAACATTTTGAAAGGCTGTTTTTAATCTCATTTTTGTATAAAAATCAAAGTCTACAACAGAGGAAGCCCACAGTCCAGAAGGTCCTCACTGAGAAGGAACAGCTCCTGGCACCCTCACTCCCCAGGACTGGTTGCCTCTGGGCCTCTGGCGGCTTCCGCCATTCTCTGAACAAAACGCTTCCTCCTGTTTCTTGCCTGACCCATGGCAACGGGGCCCATGTTCTTGCCACGAGACATGGTTTTGCCCCCTGAATCTGGCAACTGATGAGCCTTGGGGCTGGAACTGCCTGCCTCCCTCTTTACCACACTGCAGGGCTGCGTCCGGCGAGAGGTGCACGCCACACCTGGCCTAGGTCCAAAGTCTCAGCCCCCTGTATCTGTCAGCCTTTCTTGCATTTCTAACAAAATCCTCTCCAGAGCAAGCGAGAGAAACAAGGTGCCAACTCACAATCTGGGAAGCTTAGACTCCACCCCTGAAGATCCTCCTGACCTAATGATGGTTTATTATGAGATGTCCCAGACGCCTGAGATCCAGGAGAATTCAGGCTGAGAAAGCTTCCAGCAGCTTTCAGAAGGCAGCAGGTCTAGGTCTGCCCAGGGCTTTGCAGTCCCTACAGGGTGGTGGGTGGGGGCTGCTGGGAAACACCCCCGCCTCTGACAGAGACCGGCGCCAGGCTCAAAGAACAAACTGTCAACTCCAGGAGGTTTCATCCGCTTCCCCCTTTTCCAGGAACTGAAACTGTTCCCAGCGTGATGAGCACAGGGGTGGGTGCGGGGTGGGCACATGGTGGGCACGGCAGTGGGTGCAGGGGTGGGCACATGGTGGGCATGCGGGTGGAGTGCAGGGGGTGGGCACACGGTGGGCACGGCAGTCAGGTGCAGGGGTGGGCACATGGTGGGCACGGCAGTGGGTGCAGGGGTGGGCACATGGTGGGCATGCGGGTGAGTTGCAGGGGGTGGGCACACGGTGGGCCTGGCCCGGTGGGTGAGTTGGGCTTTTATGTCAAGGCACAGGCTGCAAGTGGGGGTTGAGATGAGCTTTGTTGACATCTTGGGATGGAGTCTGGGTGATCTCTTCTTACATTTGAAGACATGCAAATTGGCGAGTGCAGAAGATAAGGCTTTTTGGTGTTCAGCAAGTGGTAAGGTGCTTTTTAACAAGCATCTGTAGCGGCGCAAGGGTTTACAGATAAGTATTACAACTGAAATGATAAGTTGGCAGGCATTACATAGTGAAGGCACATGTTGACAGTCTTGCTGAGGTTGAAAGGTGGAGGCAGCCTCCTTCTGACCTGGGTAGGTCTGGGGTGGGTACACAGTGGGCACGGTGGTGGGTGCAGAAAGTGAGCACACGGGCATGTGAGTGGGTGCGGGGTGGGCACATGGTGGGCACGGCAGTGGGTGCAGGGGTGGGCACACGGGCACGGGAGTGGGTATGGGGTGGGTACACAGTGGGCACGGTGGTGGGTGCAGGGGTGAGCACACGGGCATGTGAGTGGGTGCAGGGGTGGGTACACAGTGGGCACAGAGGTGGGTGCAAGAGTGGGCACACGGCACGGGGTGGGTGCAGGGGTGGGCACACGGTGGGTGCAGGGGTGGGCACGGGTGCAGAGCGGAGCCACTCACCCGGGAGCAGCTGGCTGCTGGGTTGGGGCCAGGTCTGAGCACAGGGTGCTGGTTAGTGATGGCAGAACCCCCACCCCTACCCCAGTGACCACGGAGACTTGGAGGCTCCAATATGTACAGGTAAAATACAAAGCGTCGCACGAGGACCACGGAAACCACAGAAGATGGTGCAGCCTAACACCTGACTCGGGCTGCAGAGAAAGGAGAACCAGGGAAACGGGCAAGGAAGCTGGGCCCTGGCTGAACACGCCAGGCTTAAAAGCTTCCTGAACCTTTCTCATTCAACTTTTTTTTTGGAGACAGGGTCCCGCTCTGTCACCCAGGCTGGAGTGCAGTGGCACAATCTCGGCTCACTGCAGCCTCAACCTTCTGGGTTCAAGTGATCCTCCCACCTCAGCCTCCCGGGTAGCTGGACTACAGGCAGGTGCTACCATGCCCAGCTAATTTACAAAAAAATTTTTTTTGTAGAGATAGGGTGTCACTATGTTGCCCAGGCTGGTCTCAAACTCCTGGGCTCAAGTGATCCTCCCACCTCAGCCTCCCAAAGTGCTGGGATTCCAGGGGTGAGCCGCCACACACAGCCCTGATTCAAAATTCTTACGAGCAAAATGGGAATCGAACA